AAAACCATTGTGAGAGAATACTCTAAACATCTTTCTTCTTTTCTTTTGATTTTTATGATGAATTCAATCTTAGTTTATTTTCCCATAGCCATGAGTAGCTAAATTCCTTGTCTAAGGCTTTGATGGAACCTATTGGGTGATGGACTTCTTGTTTATGTGAATACAAATTGCTAGTTTAATCCTTATTTGTTCAACTTCGTGTTCGTTGTAGTTAATTGACAGGATCCTCAATTAGCTGTGCCTATTTAGTGTGCATAACTTGGAAAAGAGTGCATATTTAGGGTATTGTTGAACAACACCAATCCTAGATTATTAGAGGAATCTATAATTGTAGGTTTAAAGGCGGGATTAGGGATAACGAAGCATTGGGTGTAATCTAAAGTGAATTGTGCTAAATAAAGTAAGGTAGTGTATCTCGGGAGAGTGCAATAGTAGATTACTGTGATTACTCGGGAGAGATTTGCAGTAAGATTAGCGTTCATGATTGATAGAGATGTGTGGGTAAATTTGTATGAGCATAAACAGAAGGGATTCCATCAATAGGGGAAATCATTGCCTTAGCTTTTCTCATAATTGTTTACAACCTTATTAATTTAGTTACAGCCATTTAGTTACTTGCAAGCTAGTTGTTAAAGAACACTCAACTGAGAATTTGAATATTTGAGAAGCTGGTTCTGAAGACTTAGTGGGTCTGAAGATAGCGGTTGATAGGTTAACTCTCTGTGGATTCGACACTGGGCGTAATACTCGGGTTATATTTGCAACGTCCGCAGAGTCCTTTTTATAAGGCATAGTTGGGCGTGATCAAATTTTGGCGCCGTTGCCGGGGAGGTAACGGAATTATCAATTGCCATTGACAGAAATACAAAGATTCTTATTGTAGTCAGTTTTCTCTCTACCAATTTTTTCATTGAAAATTTGACGGTTGTTGATCTGGGTACACAGGTGCATGCCTAGAAATTCTATGAGGGCTGGAGAACTACTTGAAGGACTCTCAGACCCCGAGAAGACATTCCGGGCATTGAATCGTGTAAACAAAAGACTTCAACAATCCCAACAAATACACCAACTCGAAATTGACATGGGCGACATAAACGACCCCAACGGAAACGTCAGGAATGAGCAATTGGCACCTCCTGTGCCTGAGGGTGCACTTTATGACTGGGCACAACCCACAGCTGACAATCTGGCCACTGCCATTGTTGTGCCCGCAATACAAGCTGAATCGTTCCAGATCACAAATAACATGCTACACTTGTTGCAGAACAAGGGACTCTTTTCTGGGACACAAACAAAAGATCCTCAGCAACACTTAAAGAACTTCCTGTCTATATGCAAAACTCAAAGGCAACCGAACGTGACTCCGGAAGCAATCAGGCTATTATTGTTCCCATTCTCGGTGACAGGAGCTGCTCAGGTTTGGCTAAACTCGCTTCCCATAAACTCTATAGCAACTTGGGATGAGTTGGTCAAGCAATTTCACAATAAGTTCCATCCGCCCAACAAGACCGCTCAACAAATTGATGAGATTGTGAGCTTCAAACAGAAACCAATGGAGACACTACACGAGACATGGGGCAGGTTTAAAGGAATGTTGGTTATGTGTCCCTACCATGGTGTTCCAGAACAGATGTTGGGACAACGGTTTTACATGGGACTGTCAGACAGCTTGAAGAATATAGTTGATGCCTCGGCTGGTGGGGCATTCTTGAGCAAGACTTGGAGAGAAGGT